GGGGGGGGGGGGGGGGGGGGGGGGAGGCATGGGAGGAACACAGCCGTCAGAACTGGGTTACTTTCCTGGGGCTGCCGCAACTCACTACCAGAAACGCAGCTTAAAACATCACGGATTTAGACCTTGCCATTCTGGAGGTGCCAGAAGTCTAAGGTGGGCTGATGGAGTTGCAGTAACAACAATCCCTGCCTCTTAGCCGATGAACCCAAGAGATGTGAATTCTCACTCCATGTCTAGTGTAGGGCCAGTGGGTGCACACTGTGGTCACTCAGGGATGCAGAGTGACAAGGCGCCGTCTCAGTGGATGCTTCCACATCACTGAGAGGGGCCGACCACCCACTGACTCCTAAAGCCACCTCCCCATATGACACGCCCCAGACTGGCTCCTATTTCATTGGCCAAAGCAAGTCACATGATCAAATACACCCCTCGGGGGTGGTGGGAAGTGTCCCACTGTGCACTGTGCCCCGAGCAGCAGTAACAGCAGCTGGGTTAGAAGCCCCAAGTCCCCTCCTCCCCCCGGCACGGAGCAGCCAGCATTCAGCCTCAGTGATGAGCTTGTGCTCCATCCTTCCTGCGAACTCCTCTTTCCACATACACACCCACACTCACCCACAATCACACACGCCCACTCAGCACGGGCGACAGGCACCTGGGGAAAGGCTCCTGCACTCAGACACTTCCCATGACTCCCACAGCTCCAGGAAAGGGGCAGGCGCATCCCGGGCTCACTTACTATTGCAGACTGACGCCAAACTGCTGGGTGGGCAGAGGGGGCCGCGGTGGCGGCATCTTGGCAGAAGGGGGTGGCCGGCCCTCATGTAGGCTCCGGAGCTTCTCATCGTACCTGAGGACACAGTAGAAGCGTGGCTCTTACCTGATGGGTCAGCCCTGAGCCACAGAGGCCACTTCCGGGTGCTGGTGGGTCCAGGCGCCCTGCAGACATCTGCAAGACGCCTGTGCTCTTGTCCTGCTGGGCCCAAGTGCCACACTGCAGGTCTGCACGATCACACACACGACACACACTCACATTCACACTCATACGCCCCCACACTCACGCACTTACCCACAACCACTCACACACACACAAACCCCCACACTCACCCACACCCATATCTATACTCCCCAATTCACACCCCATCCACACTAACACCCACCTCCACACTCACCCACACACACCTGCACTCACCCACACATACACACACTCACACACATTCATATCCACTCACACCCACCCACACTTACCACACCCTCCCATTCCTACCCAGACACACACACCCACACACACACTCTCTCTCTCTCTCATACACACTCACATATTCACACATACCCACTCACTCATACTTTCATATACACTCTCATACACACACTCACATCCAGACACACTCATACACACACACCCACTCACACTCATACACACACCCACACTCACACCCACTCACACTCATACACTCTCACACTCCCATTCAGACATATACTCACACTCATATACATACACTCACACATACCCACACTCAAAGACACTTACATACATACACACACCTACACGCACATTCATACGCACTCACACACACACACATCCATTCACACCCACACTCATGCACGCACACCACATACCCCACACTCCCCCATTGCCATGGGGTGTTCCCACAAGAGCCAGAAAACGTAGTCTAACCCCACCAAATGCTGGCCCTACCCCGACTAGCAAAGAACTCGGCCTCCTTGCCTGCTATGCCGTCAGCCTAGAAGGCCATCAGGGCCACCATCTGGTCTCCTGTATGTCTGAATTTGAGATGACAAAGGAATCCTATCCCTTTTGTTCATCACCACATCCCCAATGCCTGGAAAGGGTTTACCACATAGTAGGTGCTCAGCTGAAATATTTGTTGAAGAAGTGAAGATGAACCACGGAGAGGATGGAGGAGAAACCCCTCAGGTAAAAAGCCTCTGGACAGCACTTCCATTTCCCAGACCCTCTATGCTCCCCTGCCAACTCCTTCCTTCCTTCTTTCTTGCAGGCAAATATGTACTGAGGCCCTACTGTGTGCTGGGCATGTGGACACCGTGGTGGACATGCCTGGGAACAGGGGAACACGCTGACACTAGTCAGCAGCTTGGGAGTGGGAGTGGGGCCGTCAGTAGCATGGGATGGTGCTGCGGTGCATGCGGCAGAGCTCCTCCCCCCCAATGCGGCCAGGCAGGGCTGGAGGCCAGCGAGGGTCCAAGCAGAAGGCAGCTCACTAGGCTGAGCCCTGCCGGTCAAATAGGTACGAGCGTCTCTCATGCTGAGCAACTCCTGAGAGACATCGCTGTGCCCCTGACGAGGGCTCTATCGCGGAGTTATTTCACCCACTTTACAGAGAGGAAAACTGTGGTTTGTTGAGGTCCAGTGATGTGCCCAGGTCACGAGCTGGGACCACAGCCTGGATTTAGGTCTCTAAATCACCAGTGGATCTCAGACTCCGGTGCTCACAGAACCTATCTGGGGACTGTGGGGGGTTAAATCCTGGCTTCCAGTCCCCAGGGGTCAGGATTCGATGTGTGCCCTGGGGATTCTGTTGCAGGGTCTGTGGATACCCTTGGGGCCCTGGCTGCCCACTGGTGAGTTCAGGAGCTCCTGATGCCCATGCCCACCACTCTCTCCCAAGCCTCATCCCCCTCTGACCCCGTACCCTCAGTGCTGCTGTTCACCTGAGTGTTCCAGAGGCCCAGACTGTATACCCAGTAGCCACAGAGAAGCTAGAGCTGGGTGTCCCATAGATGCCATTCCCCACATCCCCCTAATCCAGGCTTCCTCATCATTTCCCACACAAGAGGACGTGAGGTGACCCTTTGTCACCAGGTCAAATCGTTTCTACCACAAAGCTGCTAGGAGTCTACTTCCTGAACCTCGTTGTGGGCTCCCACCAGATCACCACAGTGCAGTGCTCACACTCGTCTGCTTGGCACTAAGGACCCTCTGGCCCAAGACGACCCCCAGCTCCATCCCTACCCTTTGCTCGGTCACATGGGACTCCTTCCTGCCTCCAAATACATACCAATATTTCACCCACATACGTTTGCCCAAAGGTTTCCCTCTGTTGGAAACGTCCTACTAGCCAACTCATTCTAAGAGTCACCTTCTCCTGAACGCCTCCCCAGATTCACACACACACACACACACACACACACACACACACACACACACACACGCATGCACGCACGCGCGCCAGGTTCAGCGTCTCCTCTGGCCCCTGTCATCACTGATTTGTGGCCCCCCCTAACCTGAGTGCCCCGAGGGCAGGGACCACACTCCCCAGACATCTCTATGTTCCCAGCACCCAACAACAGACTTGACACCCAGAGGGACACGTGACTCAGCTTCCCTGTAAGGCTGCTGGCCTCCCCCGCAGGCACTCTGGCAAGGGCTCTATCCATTCGGAGGAGGCCCTGGGTAGGGGGAAGAGGGCAGAGGGGCCCAGGCGAGGTCAGCAGACCCGGGCTGGATTCGGCTGCACCCCGCGCTGGCTACGTGGCTCATGCCTGCCTGGGCCATCCTCTGCTCATCTACGTTGAAGCCTCACTGCAGATGCACCAATTAAGCTTTCAGCACAGGCAGACAGGTTGTTCTCCACAGCACCTGCAACACCCCTGAGGACATTTCATTCTGTACACAGTGTCACCCACATGCCTGAGAAATTCCCCTAATTTTCTGCTCAGAAGCAAAAACGGTAAACACGAGGCGGTGAACAACCGCCACCACGCAAGGGCTCATTTTGTAAATCAGTTTTGCAACGGCGGGAGAGGAGAACATCCCGCCCTGCGCACAACCTCGGCGGCTTCATTTCTGAGTCAGCGGTGAACACCTTTTCCTGCCGAGCTTTGCTGATGCCACAGATTTCCAAGCCAAATCCGGCCAGGCACGCTTTTGGAAACGAAGCCTCCAGTACAAATTGGATTGGACCAAGACCTTGGAAGGCGCTGAGACGTGTTCGCCCTACACTCCGGGACGCCACCCAGCAGGGCACTCACCGCAGAACTTCGGGAGGGATGACCAGCTGGTCACATTTGAGGTGTTCGTGAAGCTCGCTCAGGTAGTTGAAATAGGTGACTTTTTTCCCAAACTTGTGACTAAGAAAGCAGAGAACAAAAACTGATCAGGCGGCAGCAGAGTGGCCGGGGGGCGGG